TGATCTCATTGCAAGAGGTTCACTCATACTGCTTTGGCAAGAGGCCTCAGTGAGTTGGGCATGGTGACACATGCCTATAATTCCAGAGGTTGGGGAGGCTGAGGCAGGAGGATGAAAAGTTTAAGGCCAGCCTCAGCAACATAACAAGGCCCTAAGCAACTTAGTGAAACCCTGTCTTAAAATAAAAAATAAAAATATCCGGGATATAGCTCAGTGGTAAAGAATCCTGGTTCCATCTCCAATACAAATAAATAAATAAATAAATAAATAAAAGGGCCTCAGTGCCTTATTGTGTTGTTCCCTCAATAGGGCTGCTTGAGCATTCTCATGTTATGGCATCTGGCTTCAGAACAAATCATCCTAGAAAGAACAAAGAGAAAAGCCAGTATGCCTCAGAAGAGAGCCAATTAATCTTAGAAGTCACCATCAATCTCTCCACATTTTGGTTGTCAGAACTAAGTAAGTACAGCCTGCGTGTAAGGGGAGGAGAATTAAGTTCCACCTTTTGAAGAGTAGTTGTATCAAGAGTTTTAAACATAACTTAAACTACCACCACCTCCAAACTGTATCTTTGCCTCTGATTTCTTTGTCATCTAACTATGTAATGCATTTTACTAGCTCAATGTAATGTGATATTCAAATTTTTGAGGCAAATAATGTAAAGGTCGGTGTATTGCTTTAGCAGTCCAACTATAGACTGTTTTTTGGTTATAATTCAGTAATGCTCAACTTCTTATTCATACCAGTTAGGATTTTTCTTCTTCCTGTACAGCATAACCCAAATTAACTACTTTTTCAAGGCCAAGTTAGTCTCATACATTTGAATAAACTCACTGGATTTGTCAGAACTGTATTATTAATTTAATAGTGGTTAATTATGTTAGGTGGAATAATCCACACCCTCACCCACAAAGATGTCTACATCCTAAGCACCAACATCTCTGAATGTTACCTTAGATGGCAAAAGGGACTTTGTAGATGTAATTAAGAACTTTGAGGTGGAGATATTAGCCTGGATTATCCAGGGGCACTCGTTGGATCACAAAGGCCTTCACAGGCAAAATAGGAAGGCATCTATTGCTGGCTTTGAAAATGGAGGAAGGGAGCCATCAGCCAAGAAATGTTTGTGACTTCTGGAAGAGCTGGAAAAAGAAGCAGATTAGTATAATGATTATACATACTTAACAATCTTTGTTTATGTCATGTGTGTTAAATCATATGTGCATTTTTCACTGAGTCTTACAAATTTCATAATGAAACAATTACCATCTCAATATGGGAAATAAAATGCTACCTCTCACAGTGATCTTTATTGTCACTTTTATTGCATAGCAGAAAATAAGTAGATATTCTTGATAAAGGTTAAATAATAGATTTTAAAAATTATTACATATTTACCTTGTGCCAGGTTCTGTACTTTTTTGTGCCAAAT